TATAGAAAATGCGTTTTTCTAAGGCACATCAACTTTTGGTATTAACTATATAGCCAACACATCCTTAACGAGTGGAGTTAGAAGGAAATTACATAAGACCTTTCTTGTATGTGGGCACTGTTTACTACCGACGAGTTTTTATTTTTTATTTTTTATTTCGGTAGCAATATATTCTAAAGGGAGTAAAAAAATTGTCGACTTTTTCGCGCCAGACTGCCACTCTTTAGTAATCTCTCCTCGATGCGTGCCCGGGGAACTTGATAGCCGGTTTAGCGTGTTTCGCGCGGTGTCATCGCGGCTCGCGTGTGCACGGAAACACGGGACGGCAGAGAAGAACCGGGAAGACGAAGCGGGGACCGGGCCACACAGGCCGAGATTAAACAATTGGCTGGCGTGATAACGAGGGCACTTCCCGCCACTAAACTCATCCTGTCGCGTAGCTTCGTGCCGCCCGGCCTAACTTATGACTCTGGACACATCCAGTTAATCCTCTTCTCATCCATCTGCCCTTCAAACCTATCCCCTTCCATCCCGGTCTGTTGCATTGTAACGTGGAAACGCGTTAATCGCGGATTGTCTTCGCCCTGATTTTCTGTACGATCTTCAAATACTGAACTTAATAATTGTTCTCATCCTTATGCAAGAGTTCTAATACAAAATTATGTGCACATTGCTCGTTTACTTATTAGGTTAATAAATAATTGAAAAGACGAATAAAAGAATTTACCACCAAGATGAGAAAATTGATCATTGAAAAAATTCGCTTTGTACTTGAATGCTGTATAACAAGTTTACGCCTTTCGCAAGAGACGTGTATGGAAAATCAAATAGATAAATTATCCATCGCGCGTAAACAGCGCGTGGTGCGAAGGAAATCGATGGAAATTAACTGCGAGGCGATCGAGCATTTTTAAAGGCCAGACATCGTCCGACCTTTCACGTAAAGGCTGCAAAATCGAGTTATCGCGTCAGGTAATAGAGTGCCTGTTTACTCGGGATACAAAAAGAATCTGAATTTGATGGGCTCGTAAATAATCGTTCACAGTAAATAATAATAATCATCTGCTATGAATAGATCATAGAAATCGCGGAACATTAATACAATAATGAATTATTCTTAGGTTGAATTAAAAAGGTTGAAAATGAACGTTTTGGAACGGAAGGCGGAGATATTTTGATGAAAACCGTGCCGGACGTCGGCTAGTTAGCCGAGCTTAAGCCAACGACGCGACGGCGCGTACGGATGAAAACGTACGCGGCATGACGTCTTTGTGTCCCAGTTAGAACAATTTGAAAGCCGCGGTGGTATCTACGGAGTCGAGTTTTGTGAGAGCTACGCGCGATCCTCCCGGGTAGTAATTGATCCCTCCTCAGAGGCAATTTGCCCGAGCGAAGCCTCAAGCCTGTTTCGCCCCGTGTTTCGCTCGCGGCGTTTCATCGATAGCGAGACCGGAAGCCTCATCGATTAAGTCGTTTGCCGTACCCGGATTTTCGCTCTCCTCTCTTCGCTCCTCTGACGCAAACGGCGGGCATGCCGACGGAATGGTTAATAAACCAGTTTCGGGGTCGTCGCTTAATTTAACGCGACGCGGTCCAAATATTCTGCCGCGTCTCTCTACGCGTATCAGGCGAATGCAGAAGTTCTTTGATGCGTCGCTTTCTAAACTTCAATCAATTAAACGTAGTTTCAAAGTCAATCAAAACTGATGTGATCAATGAAACCAGTCCCGTGCTTCCCTAAAAATAATTTATACGCACGTCGAGGATTTTGAACGAAACAGTTATGATACTGTCATTTAGGAATAAGCATATTATTGTATATGTATAATTCTAATGCCTGTTACTGTATAGAATTCTGTTTTCAACAGCAAACACTTCAGACGACATTACGTATGTTAGTTGAGATGTTTTGACTATTAAAAAATTGAATATACAAAGAACTTACCTTATACTTGCTCCTGAGGGTGCCTATTCCGAGGATGATGATTCGCTTTGGATGAATCAGTGTCCAACGGCTCTTGGTGACCCGGTGACACCTTCGAGATCTCGGGTTCGATCCCTATCACATGGTCATCGTCCCCTAGGACGAAACTGGTCTTCTTATGCATATTAGATTTATGGTTGTCGCCTAGGCTTGACTTCCTCGACGGGGGTTGCTGGTGATGCGATGGCTCGTAGTACATCTCCGTTTCTACGAATTTGGTATGTCTGGATGAAGTAAATACGTGTTATGTCAGTGTATAAAACATTTACAGTGTACTTATACCT